AGCATCTAGACTCTCCCCCCGCCCCCAACCAGGAAAACCTTCTAGAGAAGGGACAGAAATGCATGACAAAGTGGGTCTTAAAAAGCTGCTTTGGTGTGCATTTCTGTCATGTGTGAAAGCACCCTGAGAGTCTCTGACATTTTAATCTGGGTTACAGACTCTTAAATGAAAAGCATTTCAAATTACACAAAAAAATAAAGTAATTGTTCACCTACATTGTATAATCAATACAGTTTGAAAACATTGTAATTGCCATTGCTAAATGCAATGGAATCATGTAAGTTGTAATTTTGCAAGGTCTTTAGTCTTCTCTGCCAAATAATATGGTACCTCAACAAGTCACACATTTCAGGATTCCATAGCATTGAGCCAGGGCAGTTAATGTGGCATCAAAATCACATAATTTTTTACAATGTGGAGGCACCCCAAGTGCCGTATTAGCCAGAACTGTTTAGAAAGACTGCAATTTTTGCTGCACTTTCATTGTAAGTAACTAATAGTTTTATCTACAAAGCAATGAATATAAGGATTTTGAAATATTTCAAATTCCAAGCAGTCATGATCAATTCTGCGTAACAGAAACAGAACTAGGAAAAATCTATATCTCTAGTGACTAGCACTTAAATTTCAAACTTGGCTCCTGATACTCCGTGTTTTTTTTCACTCCTGGTCAATGAATCTTTCAAAGGCATAATGTTTTCTAAAATGAGTTCCAAGTAAACAGCCAGGTGTCCGATAAAATACTTTCCCACTCATCTATCAAGATGGTTAAACATATTTGTTCTGCAAAGATATGGTTGTAACAGTGATGGGTTTTGGAAATATAGTTACATGAGATGGACATTCTGTTGACAAACAATTTGTAGAACAGTCAGGAGCAGTCTCTGGAATCTTATCAGAGGAAGAGCTGTGTATTTCTACGTATGTGAACTTGGAACATATATGTGTGCATACCTGCACAATCAGTCCCATGACTTCCAATCTGAATGGGAGGGATCCCGATTCTGCTGTTTCAGGATGAAATTATCCCTCTTTTCATAACTTGTCCAAAGTAAGGTATTCATTTAGGATTGGTTCATACCTTACACGTAACTGTATTTGGGTCCCACATTGGGAGAAAGGCGGGATATTGAACAGACATATTTATGCCTAATAAAAAAACTGCCTGATATTTTCCTAAAAGGAATATCAATGAAAAGTGAAATGTATTGTTTATTGTTAAGTTCAACAAGGCCACTGACCCATGCTTTTATTTACCTTGTTTTCCAATGAGATATTCACTCATTTTGAGTAGCTGAACAATGAACTTGCTTTTATTTGCAATATATATTGCAAATAGGTATGAACCAATCCTAAATGAATACCTTATTTTGGACAAGTTATGAAAAGAGGGATAATTTCATATATAGAGAGAGGGGGGGGGGAGAGAGAGAGAAATGGGGACACTACTATATATACTTTGAGTACATGGATATATTTTCCAAATGTATAATAGTTAATTGTTTTGAATTCATAATAAAGAAGTAATTTGAAATACTTATAGGTAACATTTTGCTGCCATTCATTCTGAAATACAGACTTCTAATATTTTTCTCCCTGAAAAACACACACACAGGCACACACATACCCCAATGCGAACCATATTACACTTGCAATCTATAATTTGGAGTTAATCCTATTAGAACAATTTATTTCAGTAATACAAAAATAGCATAGCCGAATGTAAACAGCAGGCTGCCCACCTATAGAACCAATTGTAGCTACAATTGCATAGCATGGAAATAACCACTGTAAGAAAGATTGATTATAAATCTTTCCAAACTGGAAGGCTTCCAAATAAAAAAGTGCTTGTGTTCTACTTTGTACTCTTAGGACACTGTCTTGGATGTATATCTTTAATTTTAAAATAAACATGTCTACATACATGTTCGCAAAGGGCCAAATCTAAGGGAGGCTCCTTGCTTTTTTCTTAAGTGTTCTACGAAATTTTCAGAAAAAGGTTTTGTGTAGGTGGTCCAGAGAAGTGAAGAACTATACATCCATTTTCTGAGGTTACCCAACCAAACTAGAGGTCCTAACTGGACAACTTTTGTGGTATACCACTGTCTCAAATGACTGCACAGATCCTGAATAGATGGGACATTAACAATAGGATCTATGTGCACAAACTGGGACTCTTGAATTGTTGGCTCATTTGGAGTATCTGATAAGAGTTCTGGGTATTTTGGAGTTCAAAACAGGCACTAAATGGACCTTTTCCAGCACCTATACTCCTAAAGCAGTCAAATATCATAAGACAAATTTCAATTATATTTATAATTTAAATTATAAATTACATTTATAAAAAGTATAAAACATAATTACTTTCAGGACATTGGTCTGCTCCATTAAAAATCCAACCTTTGTGTTGATTGATTGTTTTGGTGGAAATACTATATGTTCAAACACTAATATCAGATCAGGGAAATTTTCCAGCCCTAGAAAGCTGTGGTATTGGTCATGATGCAGGCAAATACATCAAATAAGGAAGAGTCTGACTGTTACTGGCATGGCTGATTTGTGGGGCCATGGGTGAGCCTGTTGTAGGAATGCCTGTGGTGCATCCATGGTCATGTCAGGGTAGATTGTTCCAGAGTATTTCATATTTTGAGGATACTCCCTCTAAACAATTAGAAATATACCTAGTACAGTTGGGTCTCTCTGTTATTGATTTACCACTGTCATACATTCTGAAATCTAGCTATGCTGTTAAAAGCTGAATGGACATGGAAATATGGAAGTAGTTAAGACACTAGGATTGATGCAAGGCCTAAACGTTTAATGTTGTATCTGTGATTTGCTTATAGTTTTATAGTTTTAATGATTTTAATGTATTGCCATTGTTGTTGATTTGATATGATATGTGATGTTTACATGTGAGGTATTGAATTTTGCAATTTATTATGTTGTGAACCACTTTGAGTCCCCCCAAGGGGTGAGAAAAGCGGTATATAAATGCAATAAATAAATAAATAATAAATAAACCACCTGCTCAACTGTCCTGAAATCAATGGGATTTCAGTAGTACTGAAATCAATGGGGATTTAAAATTAGAGCCGGAAAACACAGTCCAAAGGGTAATTTTTCCCCATTCCACTTAAAATGCTTTGGCATGATTACAGCCTCTTGAATCTTGCTCTCCACACACATCTATTTCCCTGAGCTGCAAATGAGAAAAGTTGAAAGCCACACTGGAAACACGCTATCTAATGCTGCTTGCTTTTGACACTGTGAAGTTATGCTTCAGAGGAGAAATTTCCCACACTTTTTGCAGACTAGGATGTTTCTGCTGCAAGTGATATGCCCCCACCCACCACAGAAAAGAGGTGAATTATCAACCATGAAAAACTGAGCTTTAATATGGAAATGGGGCCAGGCATGGAAAAGGGCAAAGAGTTCAGGTGCTGCTATAATCCCTACTATACACATGCTTTAGATTTGTGACATAGAGGACACGCTTTTCATAATGTAGCAATTTTATAGTTTTACCGGACTGACATGCCATGAAGGAATATTCTGAAATGGCAGCTTAAAATGAATGAAAAGATTGGAAAAAAAAGCCTAACCCATATCACCCAATGGTGTTGCTTATATAAAATACTACTGCAATAGTTCTTTTATTAATTTTTAATGCACAGCACCCTCTGCGACCTCTTTTTTTCCCCTCCTTTCACAGTCAACATGGCAGCTTGGAAAAATTGAAATGGGATAATAAAGAGTAGGAAGTAGCATAGAAACCCCAAGAGTATGCAACTGCTATTCCTCATCCTCTCCTGTCAGTCTGTCTGTTCCTTTACCTCCCTGCCCGCCCCCTTCTGCACCCGACATCCCAAACGGATTAAGCTGAATAGGCTTACTTTTGCAGTAAACCCATGTCATTCTTTACATTTTTATATTTAACTTTAAATACACCTTATTTAACACCGTGTGTTTATCTTGTCAGGCCACGGACCAATTTGTTGCTGTCAATGGTTTCTATACATTCATAAGTCAATTAAATAAATAAAATACACATACCAGCAGGCTAATCACCATTGGACAGCCCTCCTGTTTTTCCCCCCTGCACACAATAGAACTACATGAAAGAAGTCTGTTTCCTTTTGTCTGTCCAGTCTTGTCTCAATATATTTGGCCTGATTCAGCTGCATTTTGCTGGAACAGTGGGACACCATTATGCTATGAATATTTACCACTGTTTATATCTCCAAGGAGACTAATCTCCATACCGCTACAGTCCAGAAGCTCACAGCATTGTCTCTGCAGGGCCAGGTTCATGTTGTCACAGCAACTGAGGGCATGGGGTCAAACAGATTAATCCATCAGCAAAATCTTTTCTTTTTTAAAACTGCACTTATGTACCAAAACACTCCCCTACTCGCTTCCATAGAGAGTTTAGAATAATGCTCTGTGTTGGAATCTATCACATAAAGTATGCAGATATATTATATCATAAAGGGATAAGATACAGAAATATGAGATTGATGTGTGTGGATTTCAGGTCCCAAAAGGAAGGACTTATGGAAATATGGCAGGAAGGTGGATTACAGGAAGGCAGGAGATGCCAAGTTCAGCCTGGGAGGGGGGACTCCTCATAGGTTGCATTGGGACTGTTTGTTTTTTCTTCTTGCAATGCCCTTTGATTAGCCTCTGTCTAACATGTGGCCTGACAACTGTGACAGAATGAAGAATTCCAGGAAAACTGTGAGTCATGAGAGGAAAGAGATTTCCCCCCTTCCACTGGCGTGACCCTATCACTACACTCTGCTGCAGTGTTTCACCATTAAGGAAAGGGCAACCCAAGAGTGTTCACACTCAATCTGTTCCATCTGTCATGACTATTAAGAAACACTGACCAGCAACAAGCTTTAAAACATCACAGACATAATATTCTACAAGTACACTCCTGATATTTTGCTGGCCTCAGAGGTAGCATTTTATTCACAGGAAAGGGCAACACTTACCTGATACTCCACCATATGTGGTCTTGTTCCCCTGTCCAACTGCAGGCCACGGTATGCCATCTGCTCTCAGTCCCATCAGCCCTGACACAGTGTTGGTGGCGGTAACACCATCTGCACCACCTGAGAACAAAGACAGCGATAGCCTTAATAGGCATATTCACACAGCAAGAGACATTGGACATTATTCCATAGCGGTAGCAAAAGGTAAGTCTAGTTTTGTGCATAAACAGTAGCAGCAGTCAAAGTATCATATTTTAATATTAGCATATTTAATATTTGAAGCCAAAATTCCATATTTCAAGCACATCACATTTGGCAATCCTAACAGGAGGTTGTTGTTTCTGTAGCACTCTCTCTTAAATGTGGATGAGATGAAAAAGCTACACAGGGTTTGATATAAGGAGTGTTTAACATTTGGTCCTTCAGATGTTTTGTACCTCACTTCCCACAATACTCCTGGACTTACTCGGTTGAGTTTTTAGGAATTAGTACCCAAAACATCTGGATATGTATATAAACCCAATTTTCCTAGTTTCCAACAAACCTCACAACCTCTGAGGATGCTTGCCACAGATGCAGTCAAAACATCAGGAGAGAATGCTTCTAGAACATGGCCATACAACCCAAAAAACCGACAACAACCCATCTGGTTATGGTTGAAGGAAACTGAGGGGCCAAAGTTATGAAAGAAAAAGCAATATGTGAATTTATTTATTAAATGTATTTGTTGCTTTTCTGAACCAGTTCTGTTGCTTTCAGTGATTTGTAGTGAAATATTTCCTCTGTGTGTGTTTGCATGTGTATGTGCCTTCATGTCACCTACCGACTAATGTGACCCCGTGAATTCAATCACTTTTTAAAGGTAAGAAATACTCAGAGGTGGTTTTGCCAGTTCTTTCCTTTCAAATATAGGCTACAGTACTGGGTATTCATTGGCAGTCTCTGATGCAAGTAGTAACCAGGGCTCCTAATACATGGCTTCCAAAATAAGATGAAATCTAGTGCCTTTAAGATATTTAAGCACAGTATTTCCTCTAATGTATCTAAAATCAATAAAACACATTCTTTCTTTTTAAAAATTAAATTGTTTAAAAAGCCATTTTGTAAAAGCCATTTTTTTTTTACTCAAGACAAACTGATAGTAAGTTCCAATGTAACTTTTCTCCTCTAGGAGGAAAATATGGGTAAATTTTGCAGAATCATTCTGGGAGGATGAGTGTTCACAGTCTTTTTTGCAAAGCCTCACTTTGACTTTGACCTTCACATGTCCACTTTCAGATAACTTGCTCAGATGAAACATCAATAGGAATTTTGATGGAAGTGTTTCAACTAAATTCAACTTCTGAAATAACTTTCAATTAAAACATCCCTCCTGCTCTCTCAGATGACATGCTTGCAGACAATTCTTTGAGCTGGTCTCACATCTGATTGAGGTCTCTGTGTATAGAATCAGATGCATAAAAATTAAAATGTTTGAGATTATAACTTCTGAATTTTCTCTTGAAAATAAATTACATGATTGGATCAAGGGTCCTACTGGCTTGAGCAAAGGAAGATGGAGGAAGGGAAGGGCATGTGAATGTATTGAGAGCAACATTGGGGCCATCTACACATGCCATCGTGATGTTGATGTGGAGTGGGGTACTCAAGATCAGTGTTGCCAGAGTTCACAGTGGCAAACCAACAAGGTAACCAAGAGGCTGGATGGCATCCACATGACCCTGTTGTGCTGGAATCAATTAAGAGCTACAGGACCACCACCATTACCTTACTCTCATTGTTCTGGCATTTGCAGCACCCACCACGCACCAAAACAGAAGTAGTCACTGCAAATGGCTGCAAATGGTGGTAGTCACCACGAAAATGTTTATGATCACCAGAACATTGAAGGGGAGGAAGGGAGGGAGAAATTGTTTCCTCCTTTCCCCCCTTCATTCTCCAATTGCCTTGTTGCTCTGGCTATTGTTGTTACAGGAACTGAGTGACAAATCACCACTATTTTCATGCCCTTGCAGTTGCTTCAAAGGCCAAATTGATGGAGCCAAGGTAAGTGCTATCCCTTGTTACTGGGCTGCTTGAGTCTGGAGAAAGCAGGATGGCAGTCACAGATTCTCCCTCAATAGGAAGTGGCACAACTATTTACACTGGCTTGAAATGAGAGCAAGCACAGCATTTTTGTTCTGATATCTAAAGCCAGGTGAATGGAACCTGTGCATCATGGGTATGCCAGAGGTTCCATTCATCTCTGGAATAACTCATATGACCATTGTAGATGAGATTTTTGAATTCTTAAACTAATTCCTGCTCTTCATCAGTCATATATATATATATATATATATATATATATATATATATATATATAAAACAGTTTCCAAATAATCTCTTTATTTAAATAATAAAAGAATTTTGGTTGAAAAATATGTGAGATTGTTACAACAGAAGGCACAATTTGATTATAATTTGAATTACATAAATTGGTAGATATAATGGTCCCCTTAGATTAATGTTTGGGTCACCAAAAGTTTGGCAACAGTAAAAGGTTTCTTTACATCACCCATTCACACAAATCTGTTAGCAACAACATGCAGTGTTCACAGTTATATTCTGCAGAAAATGCTTCCACTGTCCTCCACAAAAAGGCAAATCAGCCTGTTTAGCAAGCATTGCATATGCTGATTTATTTTCAGCAAATGTTTGATTTTATACCTATTTTATACACCTATATACCTAGGGTATGTAAAAAATTATTGGGCAGAAAGGGGTAGCAAGTGTAAAATTTTAAGACTAGAGCATCTATATGATGACAGGAAGTAAATCAAGTATCGGGGATGAGTATGTCTGGACACTGGGTAGAGCCCTTATCTCAAATGGTAATGAAGCCCTGAATTTTCACATTTTTCTTTACAATATGCTTACTTTCCCTGCCTAGATGTAGCCCACAGCAGAGGGGCAAGCACTGCAGGATGGGAGAACCAGAGGTAGGTCTTTATAGCGTTTCCTTGCATGCCAGTACTTTATCTAGGAAGTAAGCAGGTGGAAGCAATGGTGAGGAACATCAGCTGGCAGGTCCCAGCTGTGGTCAAAAGTATATGGGAGGGCATTAAGGGACTGGGGCATGGACTTCCCTTCCCTGGAAACAAAGAGAACGATGCTGCTCCATTACCAGGTGAAGGCCTAGATAATATACAAGTCGATCCCATGAGACTGTGAAAATAGCAAACCCTATTGAAATGAATGACTTTTAACCCAAGAACACCATACAGCTGAGCTGTACAATCTAGAAATTGCCAAGAGAAGACAAATTTTGTTGAACATGGATCATTAAAGTGCAGGTGATTGTTCAGTGGATTGTATTATAGATTGTATTAAGTAATAATATTGGGTAGCTTTCTTCCTTGTGAATATTTTAGAATGAGAAAAAAGCTGAAGAAAAATGGCAAGCCTTTAAAAATTACCTAAGTAGTTTTATGCTAAAACTAATACTCTGAGGTAAACATATCCAAAGTAATATTGGCATGATAGTATCTTAGTAGCTTTGGTATAGTATTATCCATGCACATTTTTATTCATGCTGTGAGCTTATATAACAGTGAAAAGGGAATACATCTGAATTTGTTACCTTCTTGGGAAGCCCTTGCAATGCTCACAATGTCTGTGACATTTGGGGTCAGCTTGGCAAAGAACGGAATCTGAACAGCTTGCCTCACCCAGCGACAGATGTTGCGCACCAGCTCTGGATCCTGTTCAAATAGGTCAGATAAATACAGTGCATAATTAAAAGTAATGTGATCAAAACTTTCCAACAATCTGCTCCGCTGCGGTTTGCTGAAATTACACTTCAACACTTTGCTTTGCCTCATTATCTTAAGCCGTGCCTGCATTTCAAAAGCAGTGGGAAAAAGAAGATCTGCAACATATTTGTTACCTACAAATAAAAACAAAATTATTCAGGCTATGCTGTGGGCTACTGTAGGTGTCCTCCAACTTAAGTGTTGGATTAGAGTTCATAGCCCTACTTGATAATGGTAATCCATTGGGTGACCTTGGGAAAGTCACACTCTGTCAGCTCCACAAGAGAAATGGCAAAGCCATTGAACAAAGTTTGTCAAGAAAATTGTGATAGGTATACCCTGTGCCAGAAATGACTTGAAGGCATTAATCAACAAGTTTCTGTTTTTCTCATTCAGAAAATATGAGAACTGTATGAATGGAGCTGTGGGTATCCACATCTTTTTTAACAACATGACATATATTTCCAAGTAGAGGTGGGATTGCATCCACTGTTAGGCTGACTGAAAATATGCCGTATGTTATAGCAGTTCCATGGGTGGTTATTTGCAATTGCTAGTGGAACAAAAACACAGTTACTCCAGGCAACATCTATCCTAATGGGATGCTTTGTGCAACAGACAAGGTTTGCACAAGTTTCAGATCTGAGATATATCCAAGGGTGAAAATGGACTTCCACACATGGTAGAACCAGATACAACGTGTAAAACTGTTAAGTTGTTAAACATATTTTGGGTGCAAAACGTATGTGTTGTTCTGTACACAGTGATTTCTCCGAACATTTCTGGATGTATGGATGAAAACTGCACAATAGTCTCACATCAGTGTTTTCCTCCATGACTGCATTTCTCAGGTTTCAGTAATGTCATGTTTGAACCATAAAATGAACAATGGTGAATTCTTTTTCCAATGCTAGACTACTAAAGGACATGAGGGGCCATTTGGGGTTAATTTTTGAGGAGCACACCAGGAGAGGTGTGGCCTACCAAGGTCTGGTAGGAGGCACAAGCAGGCCCCCAAACCTTTCAGAAGTCTTCCTCGTGTTCATTAACCCATCTATTCAAACTCGCCAAATAACTAAAAAATATAGTTATTTGAGAAAGGTCAAAAGTATTTTTCCACCTGAACACATATCTTTTTTGAGGAACAGTTGAGAAAGACAGACAGCTAAATGGAGAGGGAAAAAACCCACAACTCAGTCTTTAAAGACAGAAACAGACATCTTCAAGCACTTTATTTCCCTCGTGAGACCACATCCTTTAGAGGACAATCAGCTATCTATTCTACTGGTAATGGCTCTGTAGCTGTAATGTTCTTTGATTCTTTCAGTTTATCACTCTATAATAAGCTGCCCCATTTCTTGTGACAGCTACTGACAATGCCTTTCCATAAGTTAACAAAAACTGAAATATCTATATTATTATTAAAATAATAAACACAGTCTTAATGAGAATAATACCCCCTCACCCCTAAGATTATATAGATCATAAAAAATAAGTCACAGGCTTTCTCTGGAACCCTGGTGAAGAAATGTGTCATGGCATAACAGCAGACAAAAACTAGGTTCAGACATCATGATCCTGTTCAAATAAATCTCAATTTTTGAGGGCAGTTACAACATTTTAATTTGAATGGACACAACTGCTCCTGCTTCTACAATATTTAGAATGTCATGTTAGTAGCCTAATCTTGAAATTCAAATACTCCTTTTTAACAGAACAGATGTACAAACATGGACATTCTCCCTTTTTTGTTGTTGTTAAAACACTGATGACAGCAGACACCCGAAATGGAGAAGCTCCTTAATAGAATCATAGAATTGGAAGAGATCACAAGGGTCATCCAAAACAACCCCCTGCAATGCAGGAACACACAGTCAGAGCACTCCAGACAGATAGTCATCCAACCTCTACTTTAAAAACCCCAGAGAAGGAAACTCAACCACACCCTATTCCACTACCAAACAGCATATTCTACTACGAAACAGCTCTTAGCATCAGGAAATTCTTCCTAATATTTAGTGGAATCTCTCTCTCTCTCTCTCTTTTGTAGTTTCATCACTGCTCCCTGTTTTAGTCTGTGGAGCAGCAGAAAACAAGCTTGTCTCCTCCTCAACACAACATCCTTTCAAATATTTAAACATTGTTCTCATGTCCCCTCTCAGCTTTTTTTTCTCCAAACTAAACATACTTGGTTTCCTAAACTGCTCCTCATAAGGCTTGGTTTTCAGTCCTTTAACATTTTTGTTGCCCTCCTTTGGATACCTTCCAGCTTGTCAATAGCAGTCTTGAATTGTGGTGCTCAGAACTGGACACAGTATTCCAGGTGAGGTCTGACCAAAGTAGAATAGAGGGGCACAATGTCTTCCCTTGATCAAGACACTATACTTCCTTTTAAGTAGCCTAGAATCATACTGGCTTTATTTTTCTTTGTGCAGGCTGCCTATAGGAAGATTGCCAACCAATGGAAACAACTTCAAGAAGAAAGATTCTACTTAAATATTGGAAAGAACTTTGATTGCAAGAGCTTTTCAACGGTAAATTGGTCTGCCTTGGAAAATCACAGACTGCCCTTAGTTGAAGGTCTTTAACAAAGTTTGAGTACCCACAACTCAGGGGAACTACATGGCTGGGATGGTCTTTCCAACTCTGTGCTTCTGTGAAGGATCCTTTAAACCAGGGGTCCCCAAACTAAGGCCCGTGGGCCAGATGTGGCCCTCTAAGGCCCCTGACCTGGCCCCCGCCCTAACTTTAGACTGAGGGTCGCCCTATGTCTGAAATGACTCGAAGGCATTCAACAATAATAATCCTATTTAATTTGACTATCTCACCAGCCAAAAGCAGACCCACACTTCCTATTGAAATACTGGAAAGTTTATGTTGGTCAAAATTGTTCTCCATTTTAAATATTGCATTGTTCTTTCATTATTATTTTTTGCACTACAAATAAAACATGTGCAGTGTGCCTAGGGATTTGTTTTTTCAAACTATAGTCTGGCCCGCCAACCATCTGAGGGAATGTGAATTGGCCCTCTGCCTAAAACATTTGAGGACCCGTGCTTTAAACTCTATGTTTTCTTTAGTTGTTGTGAACAGGATGCGAAGAGGAACATTGGAAGTTAGTGAAGTAAATGACAGTCAGCCATGGATTTTAAACTAGTCAGTTAAGAAATGAATAGATTGACATACACCCCTCCATATTCCCTGGGGTTAGATGCACAAGGCCCCTGTGACAGTTGAAGACCACAAATAAATAAATTACTTTTTAAAAAGGAATTCCTAGATCTTCTCTATAGTTGACTCCCTCTGGACACTGACCCATGGGAGGACTCAAACCTTCCTAGAGAGGTTTTCTCTTCAGAAATCTCTAGATCCTCCAGTATGACTAGAGGAAGCTGACCACAGAGTCACACTTGAGGACCGAGGTATTCCTAAGATCATTTTAATCAAAAATATGAACAAAGAAATCCATAAGAATCCAAACAAGAAATGTGGAGGGACAACTGTATTTTTTCTCTTATCTGTACTGATGGGCAATCCCCATGCATAGGATTTTGAACTTCTTGAAGGAACAGAAGGATACGAAGTTTACACTAATGAAGACAATGTTTAGTTTAAAACTACTGCTATTGTTAATATAAACAAAAAGAATAATAACAACAATGCTCAGGTGATGCAGAAGCATTGCTGCCCATGCAATTATCATCCATATTAACATTCCATGCCAAATGTTTGCATAATGCAAAAGGCGATAAGTGACGTCTATTTAGAAATAATTGCAGTTCTATACTGTATTTAACACAAGAATGCCTTATGAAGTGCTTTTTGTTTTATTCTTCCATTTCGTAAACTTCTCCTGGTTTATTTTCCATGCTTTAATAATTAATAATAAACATTCAAAGACATACGGTGTGCATCTATAGGGCATACAGTGTATTTACATGAATAATAAACCCCTAGTAACTTAGGTCTGCAAATTTCCAACTCATAAAAATGGAGATCTCCTCTATACATGTGGCTCTCATGAAATATTCATGAGAGCTCCACTGGCATTCCAAAAGGAGCTGCATCCCTGTGACTTTCATTGCTCACTTCAGACTTATCCTGATGGGACCCACTTTAGCAGGGAAAGAACCTCAAGAAGGTACAAATCATACAGCTGTGTGACAATTTGTTCAGTTTAAGCATTTTAACACTAATGTGGAGAATAATCTGTATTATAAGTCAAGCAGCACGTCCAATGGTAATGCAAAATGGGCAAAACAAAAAAGGTTCTTAGAAGTGTATATACAAACAGTCCTTCATATCCATGGATTCAACATCCAAGGATTCAACATCAATGGCTTGAAAAATTTCCAAACAAATAAACAAAACTTTTTTCCAAAAGACAAATCTTGATTTTGCCATTTTATAGAAGGGGTGCTATTTTACTGTGCTGTGTAATAGAACTTGAGCATCAACAGATTTTGGTATCTATGAGAAGTCTTGGAACCAAACACCAGCAGATAGCAGGGGCCCGCTATATGTATATATGTATGTATTCTATCTCTCACATTTCTTCTAATATGAGTCCCAAGGCTACTCACAAGTTGGGTTAATAAAAATACAATTAAAATAATGAATAATACAAATGTTGAGGAAATAAGCAATCATATTAAAAAATCAATTGAAAACCCCCGCTGTGTGTACTAGGAACTTGAAAGTGCACTGTCATTTATAATAGACTCTTTTTAATTCATCTTGCAGAAAATGTCAGGAAAAAGGATGAAAAAGGAAAAAAAGGAAGAGGCCATTCTAATCTTAAGAAGCTCTGGAGAAGCTCTTTGGATCCTCCTATGTTTTCTTTTATGATGGACGAAGTGAAGTAGGTTTTCATCTGGGATAATAGTCTGTACAAAGCATGGAGACGGAAAAAAAGACAATGTCTACCACTGTTGCTCAGGACTGAAAAA